CGGTTAATACCAGTTTCTGTCCACTTTCTGTCCAGTTTCTGTGCGACGATGTGTGAAAACATGGGGCACAAATCCGGTTTCTGTTTGGGATTTGTGTGGATTAACCAGCAGATTTGCCCCCGTGTGATAATGTCCATAGGGAAAAAAGAGACAGGGCCTTTACAGACTGCCAGAAATTATGCAACTTGAGGCCCCTTTAACTGTCCTGGCTCAGTGGTAGGGAATCATGGGAACAGTATTTTTTTTTTTGAGACATTGAGCCTTCTCCGTGAGAGAATTCTGGTGCCACAATAAACTATAGTTCCCATGATTCCCTAGCCCTGAGCCAGGACAGTTAAAGGGTCCTCAAGCTGCATTATTTCTGGCAGTCTGTAAAGGCCCTCAATTATCTCATAAGGAGTTATTCTAAAGTGAGAGAATGTGTGGCAAATGCAGCACTATTTCTGAAATCCTCTTATTCATACATACTGTGCAAGGTGATTTCCTAGCCATGAGGTCATTGTACCCCTTGTTTTACATGCTGCTTTTGCAGGGGTATTGAGTTCTGACTTGAATATGACCAGCCTACTGATTTCTACACTGGATATAATGCTTAATTTATGTTGCCTTTACCGTAAAAGTCGAGTGCAGGAATATTGGCTACTACCTGGACTAAGAGCCTTTTCATTGTCATTGGCAGGTGTGATATGTGGAGGACTGATGTAAGTGCTTTCTGTAAGTCTTTACATGGAAGCTGTAACATTTAAATGGGAGCTATGTTACTTGAATTTAGCTGCACTGCCAAAGTAGAATAGGACTAGCTTTTTAGGGCAATAGAATCTAAAGTGTGAGTCACAAAACAAAAAGGAGCTCACACTGAAGAAAATAGTTCACTCTGAAGAGGAAAGCTTTCACAGAGGGAAAAAGATCTTTCAGTAGGGATTAAACCCAGTCATATGGATTAATCCAGGCATACAGAGGGCAAAAAATCAGTTCTATTTGGATTTAAACCAGGCATATGTCAGAAAACTGAAGGCACAGTCTATACAACCCTCATAGTGAGCTGGTTGTGAATTGACGTGACTTAGCTCCATTTTCTTCAGATTTAAGTGATGTTCACTCCCACATTTGTGGGACTATAAATTCACTCTGAGATTTACATTGGGTTGACCACCTGTGCTCTGGTGAGTGGTCTCCTCATATGAAGTGTTATATCTTAGAAACTTTTAGTCATGGACTGATACTCCAAAATATTTTTACCCACCTTTTTCATTCAGGAGGGTTCACATGTAGACAATAAATCATGCGTACCATGTAAAATAACTATCATGTTTAAAGGTATATCTAAAAATAATGGATTATTAAAAATTACAATTTATTGTTAAGTTATCTGCTGATGACCAGATATGAAAACATGAATCCAGGCAGATGGAGGATCTCTTCTTGTTTTCATCAGAACAGACAATATTCTATAGCTTTCCGGAGAGGGCTACTGGGAAAGCACTTAGACTTTGCCTTGTAGACATTGCTACTGAACATTCAAGAGGCTTGTTCAAAGATGTTGTACTAAAGATGAGAGTAACTCACTCATGTGACTACAATAGTTATATATTGGGCCCAATTCATAACATATGAATAAAGGCTTGAATAGAGGGTCCACCATATGTAGCTGTTAAGTAAGCAGAACATTGAGACATATATATTTTTTAAAAAACTAATTTCTAGCATTTTATATGCATCCTGATTTGTAACAAAACAGCAACATATATTACATTGAATGTCCTGTTATGAAAAACAAAACAAAACAAAAGACCAAACAAAATGAATCACCATAACTGCCAAGCTCTACACATTGACTAGAAATGTTTTCAAACTTTCACTTCCTTTTGATACCAGGAATTGCTTTTCTCTGAGTCCTTTGTGTGTTCTGTATATCTGGAAGCCAAAATATTTTGTTTTAACCCCCACTCTATAGTATTTCCCAGCTGTGTACTTATATAGTGTAATAAAAGGATTTAACAAATGGGAAATAGCAGCTGCATTTGGAAATTCCTTTTGTGCTCACTCTTCATTTGACAGATTCATCAGTGTGCAACAACTGCGATGTCAGACCTGGAGTGGCTTCTATTTCAAGTATCTCATCACCATCCTCTTCGATTTTACATTAGGATAAAAAAAAAACACCCCAAAACAATTGGGAGGGAGGAGGTAGTTTCCAGTGTACAGCTGGAAATACTGACACCATGGTTCGCGTTAGGGTTAATACTCTTTTTACTGGAAAAGAACTGTGTTAAAAGATTTTTTTAAAAAGCAAAAAACAACAAACAGCAAACCAAACCCCATTGGCTCCCATTTTAAAAAAGTTATCTGTATTTATCACACCTTATATTACCCTTTCTTCATGTAGGTAAAACAATTTTGAGATTTACTACTGGGAGAGTTGAGAGTTTGGTACTGGAATTTAAGAACTAGGAGCATTTACTGAAGGAAAGGTAATTGTCAAAAATTGAAGCAGTTTAAGACTGCAATGAATAGCTTTGGGGTGTATAGTGGATCTTCTGATATATCCATAATCTGCCCATGAAAAAGCATGGCAGGACAGCCCTGCTGTTATGCGGAGTAAGGAGGCTGACTGGAAGGGTTTCCATGCAAATAACTAATGCAGTTTCCTGAAAGGGTTTCCATGCATTAGTTATTTACTTCAGAGAAGAGAGAGGTGCTTTTGGGATTTTCTCCCTCATGTGCCAAAGGACTTTATGACACAAGGCTTGTAAGGCATCACAGTCAAGTTAGTCTAGGAAGGGTTGGGGACAGTTATTATCATACAGCTCTTCCAAATTGCCATGGTGTTGTTTCTGACTCAGTCTCTGACTTCTTCATGCCAGACTCCATAGTCTCACTTTCCTGCCCTATGCTCTTCCCAGCATGTCTTTGGTCTATATTAATTCTTATTTTTAGCACAATTGTATGATCATAGAAAGCCATTAAGTTAAAAAATAAGAAAAGAAATTGAAAAAAGAAACGAAAAACATCCTGCTTGGGAAAAGCAAGGGAGTGGAGTTAGAGGAACATAATCATACCCTCTCATGTGACTGCTTGAATTTCGGAACTGGTTTCGGAGGACCCTATTACACAAACCCAATAGCGAAAAAGCAGCATGACTGGGAGGCATTGAGGATTTTGCCTGTCAATAAGCACTCCAGCAACTGATGGACTATAGACCAGCTACTGGACAGACACAGTATTGTGTGATAAGGTACAGACACAGACAATACTATCCTGCTTGAATTCTGCTTTTCAAGACTTGTGTAATAAAGCCCTAACATAACATTGTTGGCTTTGGGTTACAATGCATCTTAACTAGAGCAAGTAGGGAGGAAGCAGTACTTGCTGCTCCCTCAGGCAGTACAATGTATTAGGTCAGCCTTGCAGAATGTGTAAATTATGACGTCATGACCCAAAAACATTCATTTGGGATTGGTCCCAAGTGATTGCAGGGAAATCAGAAACTCACTTCTCAAGAGTTGTGTTTCCCACTGCACCCTTATTTGCTTCCACATACATCATATTATTTGCCTATATGCACACTGCCAGTACCTCCAACATTCTGTCAGTATCTCCAACTATATGCTAAAGCTGTCATTGTTCTTGTGTTTGCTGGATTATTCATTGGGCTTGAAAAAGCTGTAATACTGTTACTTGACTAAGCAGATGTATTGGTATGAGTGGTGCACTAGTTCATCCCTCAAATTGTAAATTAACTCCACAGTCATAAACTTACTTGCTTGGATATGAGTTCAATTTGTTTCAATAAAATTCACTTCCAGATAATTGTGCTTAGGCTTGCCATGTAAATGTGTTGCCATTCATATTCGCTGAACACTGGTCCATTCTATTATGTCTGTTAAACTGATGCATTGATAAAGATCAGGCTTTATTTCAGGTTTAGCAAAATACATACTCTTCTTTGTATAGATTTACTTAATTGCTGCATAAATTGAGGGCTACATAAGAAGCCCTTGTGGCACAGTGGTTAAATGCCTGTACTGCAGCCACTCACTCACAAACCACAAGGTTGTGAGTTCAAAACCAGCCAGGGGCTCTGGGTCGACTCAGCCTGGCATCCTTCCAAGTTTGTTAAAATGAGTACCCAGCTTGTTGGGGGCAATTAGCTTACACATTGTAAACCATTGAGGGAGTGCTTAAATGCATTGATAAGTGGTAAAGAAACGGTACTTACTGTTGCTATTGCTACATATCCTCCTAGACTAAATTTTGTTAATTATCTGGCTAATTTTTATAGGGAGGACTAGCAAGAAATAATACTGCCTGGTACAACTGGTGGGACAGACAAGGCAATTTCCACTTGCATAGCAGCATCATAGTATTGAGATATACTAAACTTTTCTTTCCCTTCCAGACAGCTATTTCGTTAGCATGGCTGTGTTGTAAGTAGCAGATAAATTGCATGCAGGTTGTCTTATTCCAGATGCTTCTGGCTATAGGATAACCATGGCCCACAAGTGGAAATATCGCCAAGTAACATATATGCATGTGTGTATGTGCCTTCAAGTTGCCTGTCAACTTATGGCAGCCCCATGAATTTAATAGGGTATTCTTAGGCATGGAATACTCAGAGGTGGTTTTGTCAGTTACTTCCTCTGAAATCTGCATCAGTATTTCTATCCAACATCTTCTTATTATATAAAATTGAGAAATAATTGAGAAATTTCAATTGAATATCCTCTTGAGTTGTGGCCTGGCTTACATCATCTATTATTTCAGTAATTGTTTTATTTTCTCTTTCTGTTTTCATCTTTTTTGCCAGCCATTTTCCTTGTTTATTGTCTAGCTCAAATATGTTTTGCCTTACTTTCTTTATATTATATGAAATTTCATGGTTCAAAATAGCATCCAATTTTGTCTGTAGGTATTTTAATCAATTCATTTTATCTGATGTGGCTGGATCTTTCACCAGTTTCTCTTCAGCTTCTTTTATTGTTAACTCAAGTTTCTAGATTTCTTTTTCTTGCATGATTAATTCTCTAGATTTTTTAAAGAAAATGCCTCATAACACTGCCTTATGTGCATTCCAAATAGTTTTCACCTGAAGTTGTTTCAAGTTATTTTCTTTGAAATACATTTTGATGTTTTCTCTCAGCTCTTTCTCTGAAGAAGAAATCCACCAACTATTTGTTCCTCTACAAACCCACAGATATAACCTGGTGTGTAAATCCATTTGTCCCTAGATAAGTGATGTTCTCTGTTGTGAGGAATCTGTTTCAATTGTTGCTTTATGCCAGGGGTAGACAACCTTTTTGAGCCAGGGGCCGGGTTGCTGTCCCTCAGACAATTGGGGGGCCAAAGCATCAAAAATAAATAAATAAATAAATAAATAACAATTTGAAATAAAAAAATTAAATTGAAAAAAATATGCATGCACACTCTCTCAGCCCCAGAAAAGCCATGGCAAAACCCCTGTGGAGATTTTGCTAAGAAAACCCCAAGAACAAGTAATAACAACAATAATCAGTATCATCATGGCGGGCGGCAATGGGGGGTGGTGGCGGCAGCGGTGGCGGTGGCAGGACTGGCCTGGGGCTGGTTCAAAGGCCTTGGGGGGCCGCATCCGGCCCCTGGGCCTTAGGTTGTCTACCCCTGCTTTATGCCTTCAAGTTGTTAGTGGCTTATGGTGACCCTAAGGTGAGCCTATCACGGGGTTTTCTTTGCAAGATTTTTTTTGTGAGAGGGCTTGCCATTGCCTTCATTTGAGGTTGCGAGTTTGACTTACCCAAGGTCCCTGGCTGGTTTCTGTGGCTGAGCACAGATTTCAACTTTGGTCTCCCAGACTTCTAGTTCACCATCAAAATCAAAATAGTACACCACACTGTCTCTCTCTGTCTCAGGAGATAAGAATAAATAAAACAACACAATTATTCTGTTTCTCCCATCCTCTGCATTGGATAAATCCCAGTAGGATTTAGGATGTATATTCTGAAATAACTGTGTTAAATGTGACTTATTCCTACATGAGTGTATTTAGGGTTGTGTCTTACACATTTGCTTGATAGTAACTACCATTGGATTCAATAGTACTTGCTTTTATGTACATGCACAAGATTGCATTGTACATCCTATGCAAGCTCACTGGGGGATAAGTAATTTGTTACTCTTTGGCAGTAAAACTCATAGATGGAGATACACTGAAATTAGTCTGTGATGTGCTGAATTATAAACTGTATTTTGCAGATTTCTTCTTGATCCCACACAAATCTAAATGGGCTTTCCAAATGCCTTGTTACCAAAATGCAAGAAGTCTAGCTTAATGTTGAAAAACAGGAATACCTCTAAACAAATTTAGAGTAGTATTCCCATCACCCTCATTACTGGGTAACTTCATGTATTCAGGGGGAATATTTCCAGAAAAATGATGGTTTTAATTATGAGATGTTTTTGTCCTTTAGAAATGATTGATTTATCATGGACAAGAGAAGCTCCATTTTTATCTAGACATGACTGAGTTTATTGACATTGTCTCCTTTGCAAAGATCTTTGGATAACAGCATTTGGAAATGTTGTTTCTTTTCCATTGCTGCACATCTACACTGTATGCTTTGAAAGTGGCAGCATTTACATGTTCTAAATTGTTTGGTTTCTTTCCCTTTTGGATGGAATCAGGTATGCATGCTGATTAACACACTCCAGTCATTAACATGTGATTATGTGGGCTGCATATTGAGCACCTGCCAGAAGATAAAATCCAGTCCTTTGCTACATCTGTGCAAGACTTTTTGCATTTTCTTTTGTACCTTGACAGCTTGGAGAGGAAAAATGGGTTTTGTATCTTTGTTCAGCCAAATGGAGCTGTGTATATAAAATGCTTTTGTGGAAGCAGGAAAAGAAACGGATGTTCATTTTAGTTTCTGAGGTTATGAAAAAATCCAACATTGAGGACTTTCACTGCTTTGAAACATGAATCATTTAACATACTATATCACTGACATTCACATACAGGTTACAACATTCCTGCATGTTTATAAGGACTATCTCTTCTGGGATTTGGCCAGGAATCTCCTAATTCATAAGAGTTTTATGAGATACCTTTATGTCTCGTAAATGTCCTCTTTTTATGTGATGCTTACAAATGGTTTAGCCGTGTTTACTGTACAGAAACACAAGGGCAACATTGCTTTCTCCTAACATTCCACTGCAGGTGCTGCACGCAACGCATTGCTCATTATGTCAATATACAAAATGAAAGTATTTTTTTTTGTGCAGTCACTAGTGGCAGAAATTATCAAATGTTATTATAGTAATGAAACAGTGCAGCAAACTTGGGAGACCAGGATCTGAATGCCTCTCAGTCATGGAAACCCACTAAATGACCTTGGCCAAGTCCCACTCTCTCAGCCTCAGAGGAAGACAATGGCAAATCTCATCTGAACAAATCTTGTTCAGAAAACCCTGTGATAGGTTTGTCTTAGGCTTGTTGTATTTTGGAAATGACTTAAAGGAACACAACAAACAGCTCTTTGGCATCTATAATGCAAGCAGTTCAGTTTTTAACTTTTCTAATACTATTTTCTTTAATAATGACTGCATCTGCACTGAAGAAATAATGCAATTTGATACCACTTTAACTGCCATGCCTCAATTCTATCGGATTCTGGGATTTGTAGTTTGGTGAGATATTTAGTCTTGTCCGTCATAGTGCTGGTGCCACAACAAACTACAAATCCCAGGATTCCATAGAATTGAACCATGACAGTTAAAGTGGTGTCAAATTGCATTATTTCTGAATTGCAGAAGTAGCCAATATTTACTTTATCTTTTAACATTTCCTTTTCCCTGGAAACATGGGCCTGAAATCTGATTTTTTTGGGGTTGGGTGGGTGGTGGGATGGGAGGCAAAAGCATCTAGTACAGAGTCTAACATACATTTCATTTTGCTTCAGTTACCACTGAAGAGTGCCAGTGAGGGCCAGTGGACCATCTGTTGCATGTATAGTTTTGTCCTAGGTATTTATTCTTAGTTCTTAAAATATATTTGCCCTAGACTCCTTTAGTTTAAATTTTCAGAGAGAAAAATGGAGTGGCATATTGAGATTCTTCCATATCTGTTTCAAGAATCTTTCATTGTGCCCTTAAAATGAAAAAAGGAAAACAAAATGAACATGATGCCTAGAAATGGATGCCCCCCTCCTTTTGGTAAACATTTGCTTTTATTATATGTTATCTCTACTTGGGTTTTGAGTGCCTAAGTTGCTGTCAGGTTTTGGAATAAACATTGTTCTGAGTATCCAGCTTTCCTGGGCTATTAATATGTGGATGTGTCCTATTAAATGCACTAACTGATAGATATCTCTTTATAACTGAAAAGTTTCATCTGTATAGAAATGAGGAGTACAAGCATTCATGTTAATAATATTTATTTTCAGCTTTGCTGGTCATTGATATAAATGTGGGCTGTTTGTTTTTGTTTTTTAAAAAAACTCCAATAGAACTACGAGTTATTTTATGTTTGCAAGTGTTTTTGGCTATTAATAGGTTAGTGTTAACGTGATTTCAGTATGATCAAACTGGTATTGGAAATTATTTTAATAAGCACAGGACACTCATCTCTTACAGTTTTTCCCCCTGATTTATAGTCCCTATTTTGTATTTTTAATGGAATGCCAGAACGTAGGACTACACTGTGCTGAGTCTTTTTTGGGATTGGGGCATTTGGCTTACAGAAGTTTAGTTGTTATAATAGTGGCTATCTCATTGAACACTATTGTGTCAGGACTATAATTCTAGAGATTCCTCTCATCTCCTTCCCATGGAATTGGAGATCTTTACTAGAGAAGGAATATGCTGCTTATCTGATCTTGCTCTTAAAACAGTAAGAATAACCAGCTGGCCTTGGTAATCTCTTTTATATGACAAGCAGAAATGTGGATGTTTTATGCCTCACTGCAGCTAAATAGAGCCCAGGATCACTCAGGCCATGCCAACAATATATTCTAGTGCCTGTAGATCAGCTCTAGGATTTGTGAGGATGTTGTTATAAAAATCATTTTTTTCTATCCTCATAATACAAAGGATGTAGGTAAAGAACCA